TTTTTTCAGCATTTGTAAAAAAACTAGCTTTATTTGTCCAAAAAAGGAGCTCAAATTTTTTAAGGTGCCCCCTCTTAGTTAAATTTTTGGCTTCGTCCCTGTGTCGTTTTCGCTAATAATTCCACCATGTTCACATAGAGCCCTTACATAAAGATTTCTTCGACTACAAGGAGACTTAAGATGCTAACATAATTGATTTTTTAGTGTAAAAATGTGATTTTTTGTTAAAGTGAATAGTACTGGGAGCTTTTGGTTAAAGTTCTTAATAAATAAAGAAATGTGAAAAGAGGAAGAAGAAAAAAAAAAGGTGCGTTATTTGTTGGGTCATTAAAAAACGACATGTGAAATTTGAAGTTTGCCGAAAGCTTTAACATTTCCTTTGGATTTTCTTGTAGTTTTGAAGGCGTGTGAGAGATACCAGATGGTTGCTGTCGTCTTCGCCAATAATTCCACCATGTTCGCATAGAGCCCTTACATAAAGATTTCTTCGACTACAAGGAAATTTAAGATGCTAAACTATAAATCTATATTGTATTATATTTAAAGGGGAATGTAGCTTAAAGGAGAAGTCATATCTTCGTTAATAATTCCTAATTTGTAAACTTTAATTAAGTTCTCTAAATCTTAGTCCAAATAATAATAAGGGATGTTATTAAAATTGATGTGAACTGGATAAAAAAATTTAGATTCATAATAAATTATGGGAATTGTTATTAGTACTCCAAAAATCTCATTCTACACTTCAAACTTTCTATATTAGGAAAGAAAAATACACTTGTGAGGAGTGTAAAATGAGATTTTTAGAGTGCTAATAACACTTCCCTAAATTATAGTCATTGATATGATTATTAAAATGTGATTTATAATTTTTTTATGTGATTGATTTTTAATAATTGATATGTGTAGAAATTAGAAGTACGGAATGATATAACACGTAAAAATTATCTTTGATTAGTTTGGACAATGCTATAGTTCAAAACTTTAATTTTTATGGTTCCAATCTGATTTCAAAGAGTTCGACTCCAATATTGGCACCCAACTCCACTATGAGTGGAGTAGTAGTAGGCTAAGCCTATTTATGGGATAGCCACAATAATTTGGTTCGAATTTGGCTTCTCGTTCTTTGACGAGAATCGAATGTAGGACCTCTTATTTACAAATGAAGAGGAATATTACTAAAACGTAGTACTAAGTGGCAATCTGATTATCTTATTAGTATTCCATTAATTATTTTGCAAGCCTCTCTACGTATTTGAATTGCGACACTTGGAATAGGCCTAGCAAATGAGTTGTGTTTGTGTTATACCCGTTATGTTTGCGGGTTGTGCCGCGTCACACTAGTTATTTTAACGGGTTCTTAACAGGTGACCCAATAACGAGATGATTTGTTAGTGGGTTGTGTCATTTCGTGTGAGGTTGACGGGTCATGCAATAAATTGTCATGCCTAACATCTAGATCTAGCCAACAATATCTTATCAGGTTCTTAACGGGTGACTCGATAACTACCTTGTAGAATTATCAGAGAGACGGAACCTTGGCCCACTTCCAACAACACCAATAATGTCCCCAACTTGGTAATTACCACATGTACAATCCATCGGGTGTGGTGTTTTATCACAAAAGGTCTCAGTGTTAATTAGAGTGGAGTAATTATATTTAAATTGTTTTTCTCCTTTCCCTCTAGCCGATGTGGGATTCAACATGCTTGACGGGTTCTTAACGAGTTACTCAATAATGACCGAACTCGTTAATACATTGATTTAAAACCTCTAATTTTTGTATTGTTTCGTGTCGAATTAAGAGGTAATGTAAAAAATTGACGGGCCTAACTTGGAAGATGGAATTCCAACCGCTAACCACGAGTTCCAACTGCTAACCGCATGTATGTACATGAAATTACTCTTCTAAGTCAGTCCCTACCCCCACATTTATCCAATGACCAATTGAGCTTATGGTCCAATCCATCGAGACCATGTGGCAAGATTTACGTGTCAATTGTTGGCGCATCCACCTCAGCAAGGCCATCAACTTAAATGTTTTAAAACCAATAGGATCCTCTCCGGATTCTTTTGGTGAGGATTCTGGGAATTTGTAAATTGTGCAGCATGTGGTCAGTTTTTATCAAGTACTGTTTATGTTTAATTTTATATAAAAATATTTAAAATAATTTCAAACCACATAATATATAATGACCAGATACGATTCACGAATTCTCAAAATCCTCACAAAAAAGATCCGGATTTATTTTAAAATATTCACATTGACAGGTTACTGGACCTTTATTTGAAAACCAATGACGCACAGTTTGTACTTGTAAATCCAATGGGGGGGGGGGGCCTTTCTACCTTTTATTTTTCAATTACTTCTCATAAACGTTGGAAATTGAATCGTTATCCAAAAATAAATAAACAATATTTGGCAAAAATATATAATAATTTTCTACTTTAAATTAATTTTGAACAGCATTTAAGAGAATTCAAATTCGGCACTAAACAGACTTTACTTTTTTTTTTTTTTTTTTCACAAATGATACTGTTAGTATGTTAAATTTTAATTATTAAGAAGAGTGAACTGGCAGAGATTTTATTTGCACTAAGATGCATACACTAATGAAGGAAAATGTCATCGTCTAAACATACTTTAATTTAGTAGTATATTTCTTCACTTGAAACTTGTAAGTAAACGATTTTAAATTTAACTCGTAAATAATAAATTTGATTCTAAATTACTATCTATAAGCCCATTTTGTATACAACCATATGCTAGGAAAAATTTTGACACAAATTTAATATCTTACCGTTAATATGGTAATTTGGCAAAAAGTTTGATAAATATTCCCAACCCAAGTCTCAAATTTATCCATACATCGATCCTTCCACGTCGGAATTTCTTCTAGAACATTTGGTTTTCTTTTGCGGTGCAAAACACGACAATGTGGGACCCAGGGACACGAACCCTTGCCCTTCTTTCCACACGTAGTCAACGCTTATCCTTAGTGGCATGACATCCCTCTCTTTTAAAACAACCAGTCCTAACCTCTTCTCAACGTACCTCATCCTCAATTATTTTACCATTTTTAATTTAACTGCCAGCAAAACCTTACATTTCCCAACTCAAATTCATCGACCCATTTGGTTTTATCTTAATTATTATGGTTTATTTAATTAAGAACTAGCATTTACTTACATACTTTATGTGTATAAACATATTTTTTTAGAAAATGAGAAGGAGAGAGGGAGAGAGACAACGTGGAGGGGTGGGAGATTTTTGTTTTTGGTTTTTTTTATTTTTTATTTTATTTTTTATATTAAAAGTATTTTAACGTCACCTATAGGTGAGGTTTCAATAAAAAACCAATAAAATTTAAACCTGTGAAATTACATTATTACCCATCATTTTTTTTTGTGTGATAGAAGACTAATTTATCTTTTTACCATCTTTTGGTTGACAAAAAATGTTTCAATAATTAGTAGAGATAATGCTTATAGACTAAGTCAAATCTCAACTTGTGCGCCTTACGTATATTGTTTCACACATCACATGCGTAAGTTCATTATTCTGTGAATTTTTTTTATTAAATATGTATTAGAATGACAAAAATGCTCTTGGTATAATATAATTAGTCAAAATGATCTGACAAAAGTAGGGAGTGTTTATGTCATTTTGTTCTTATTTAATAAATGTTTTTCGCGAAATGACCTAAATGATTAATGATGGACAAACTCAAAACCATTTGTATTGATTTCAACTTAGGGACCAAAGTAATGAGTTATGCCAATCTCATAAACTATTTTGATAAAAAAAATATTTTCTTAATTAAGATTGCAATTTTTGTTCTTAATATTCAAATTTGGGTTTGACTAAGAAATTTAAATCATACGGTACCAGATTAAGTTTTTTTTCTTCCACTAAAAGAAAAAAAAAATTTTGCGTTGTCATTTTAAATTTGACATTTCCAATACTGTAGTTCGATTTGGTTTGTAATTATATTCCAATCGTAAATTGTTATGTTTAATGTAAATTTTGTCCAATTAATGAATGAAAATTAAAGTGAAATTATGCCAAAATAATGTGAAAACACTTTTGTCTTTTCACAAATTGTGGGTAAAATTGAAAGTCGATTATTTTCAATAAAAAAACTACGTTTTAATCACGACAAGTGGCTCGGTGAAAAAATGTAGACAACATGTCTTTATAGAAAATAACGAAAGATCTTGAATTCAATACTTTGTAAACTGTGAATCTGCTTGATCTACCACGGGTATTATGCAATTTCCGACTAGCCTTCTCCAAGTCCAAAAGGAATGAATAAAGGTCTACCATGGGTATTGTTCAATACTTTGTAAATTGCAACTGATTTCCCAAAATTTTGTTACTTATGAGAAATCAGCTAAAAATCATTTATTCTGGTTGTAAACTGTAACTAATTGCGGGACAAACAATTGATAAACTTTTAATCCACAACTAACGCGACAAAGTTTAAGTTTTTTCGATAAAAGCCAACATTTGATTACACATAAGCAAAGCACAAATCGCATTTTATTAAAACTAGTAAACTAGAGTCCTTTTTCCTTTCACAATTACGTGTTACATCACTTGATATTAAAACGTCTTTTACTTCTAATCTTCTTCAATTTATCCAGTAAAAAATTAAAATAGTGTGTGATAAGTAAATAAGGATGTGTTGATATAACACCCTTTTACTAATTAGTTCCCCTACCTTCCAGTAAGCAAATTTTGTTTTTTTTTTTAACACACGATATTATCTATACCAAGGGATAGAGGAGTTAGCTAAGCTTCATACCAAGGGGTAAACTGTAAAACCCTAGAAATATCGTAATTTCCAAACTATGTGCGGCGCGTGGCAGCCGTTGATTACAACCGCCAGGACCAGCCTCCATTTATGAGTGTGGTGTTTGCTTATAAATACCCAATTCCAACTGAATCCCCACGCACACCACTATCCAGTTTCTTCTACATAATTACTTCTTTCATTCCAATTTTATCCCCAATTAAGATATAAATTTCCAAATTGCCATATGCAAATGGCCGAGTTACGAACCGAGTTAATACCCGGTCTGCCGGAGGAACTCGGCTACGAGTGTCTCACCCGTCTACACTACTCCACTCACCGAGTCGCCTCCCGAGTCTGCCGCCGCTGGCAGGACCTTCTCCAAAACCGGGAATTTTACAATCACCGGAAGCAATCAGGGTGGACCCACAAGGCGGCTTGTTTGGTTCAGGCGCTTCCGGTTCCGACAGGATCGGACGAGGCCAAACCGGCAAAACCGCCCCGTTACGGGGTCTCGATTTTTGACTCCGTGAGTGGGAATTGGGACCGGATCCACCCGGTTCCGAAGTACCCGCACGGGCTTCCGATGTTCTGTCAGGTGACGAGCTCGGAGGGGAAGCTGGTGGTGATGGGCGGGTGGGACCCGGCGAATTACCAGCCGGTTCGAGACGTGTTCGTGTACGAGTTCACGACTCAGCGGTGGGCTCGGGGGAAGGACATGCCGGAGACCCGGTCGTTTTTCGCCGCCGGGGAGCACGACGGGCGGGTGTACATCGCCGGCGGCCACGACGAGAACAAGAACGCGATGAAGTCGGCGAGGGTGTACGACGTGAGGGAGAACGAGTGGAGCGAGTTGCCTGAGATGAGTCAGGGGCGAGACGAGTGCGAAGGGTTCCTATCCGGGTCGGAGTTTTGGGTCGTAAGCGGGTACGCGACGGACATGCAAGGGAGGTTTGTGGGGAGCGCGGAGGTCTATGAAACAGGGCCGGGTCGGTGGAGGCTGGAGGAGGACGCGTGGCGTGCGGGTCAGTGCCCGAGGTCGTGCGTCGGGGTTGGGAAAGACGGAAAGTTATTCTGTTGGGGCGACTGCGACCCGAGAGTTCGGGTCGGGCCTTGCGCGCTCGGGTTGGGGAAATGGACCTTCCTAGCGGGGTCGGGTTACCAGGGCGCGTGGCAGGAGGAATTTTTGGTCGAAGGGCAAAATGGTAAATTGATGAAAATGGAAACGCCTGCGGGTTTCTGTGGTTTCGTGCAGTCCGGGTGCTACGTGGAAATTTGAAATTATTTTTAAAAATTTTCAAATTCTGGAAAAGAAGTGAGGTTTCAATTTTGTTTTCTTTTTTGAAGAAAATATGAGAGTGTTTGAGTAAAGTTGTAAGCAGCTTTTGCTTTTTGTTGGATTGAATAGTGCAAAAATATCATAGGTTTGACTACTGTATAATCTTCTGTTTAATTTTAATAAATAATATTATGAAATCTTAATAGCACTAAAATTTTGCTTACATATTTACATTTTTTATTTTATAGATGTCAACAATTAAAATACTAAACTTTTGGTGGGCTTGGGATATGAACAGAAATAAAATGGACCCAAAGTGTGTTTGTCGGATTGTATTGATTTTAATTAAGACCACAAATGCGCTCGGCTAATATATGAAATCTCACTCTTTTCGGTTATCTAACCTCAATACAGGAGGTTCCCACCATTTTATATAGGCCATCAACTAACCCCAGCCTTGGGTGTTCCCAACTGTCATTTATATGGAGTCGCATACTAATATTTTTTCACCTATCAACAAAACGTTCGACGATGAAGTGAGATATGGTCAGTCAAGATGGGGCATTCTATCATAGTGACGCGAGCAGAGCGGGACCCAAGCACTTTTCGAGCATCTTTACGTCACATCTTAGGTCTCTGCCACTGACTATGGTCCGTCATGTGGCCTGATTGACATATAGGTAGACCTGTTCCTGAACACTTGTGCTATAAAGTTGTTAGTCTGCTCACGCCTCTGGCAGTCAAGAAGTTGTTTGCATGTCCTGGTCGAACTTAACTTATAAGCATTTGGCTATAGCGCTTGAGGATATCCTATTTTAAGCCCTTTAGGCCTTGGACTTCTTGATCTCTATACTTTTCACAGCTTCTTTCCCCGTTTGCACCATCATGTTGGCCTAAATGTGTCCAAGATTAACAATAGAGAATTCAAATTTATGTGCACCACAAAAGCAAATCAATTCTAACTAACGTGGCTAAACATGAACTTACAAACGATATGACATGGAGAACATGAGCGTGAACTTTGAGTGATGAGTTTAGTTATTTGAGTTACAAGTTCCGTCACAGTAATTTTGATCATTTTTTAACCACGGTGTGAATTTAAAAATTGAGTACAAAGCAATCTCTAAAAGTGCTTATATAATATAAGTGTACAAGTAAAATATCGGAGGTGGATTGTCTCCCCTCACATTTCCATACTCTTCCCATGCCCTCCTATTTTGTGTGGTCACGGTTAAGCCACGTCAACATTTTATATTCCTGTTACTTTTTGTTTTATTATTTCTATAAAAAATTAATATAAAATATTGACGTAGTTTAATCGTGATCACACATCACATAAGAGTACGAAAAGAGTATGAAAATAAAACGGCATACAATCCACCTCCTAAAATATCTCATACCTTTTGAGTTGTCCTCCACCACTGTCGCTCTTTCTCTCTTCCAATGTCTGCAAAAAAGACAAAGAGAAGAGTCCCTCACTTCACTTTCATCGTGACTTGCGAGTGGAAAACAAAAAGTTGCGCCAAATTCAAGATAGCGTGACAAAAAAAATTCTTTGAATGTTATGGCCCCGCCACTGTTTCGACTTTGAACGGCATTAAAGCAACCAAAGGCCAGTATATGCTCATTGAGATGTGTTCTTTTTGTGAGGATCTTCAAAATTTTTAAATCATATTTGTTCATTGTACATCGTGTAGTTAGAAATTATTGTAAATCTTTTTATTTAAAATTAAATATAAATAGTAATTGACAAAAACACAATGAATAGATGTAATTAGAGAATCCACGAAATCCTCATAAAGAGGATCCGGAGAGGATCCTCATTCTAATATCAGGCTTTTCTACTTTTGGAGAAAGTTTTTCTAAGTATTAGTAGCGAATATTCAAACATGTACTTTACCTATTGGAAAATAAGAGATAGTGTTAGACATCTATCTTTATTTTTTATACTCTTTTTCAATTTTTGGATGTTCGATCGAATGAATTGAAGATGATTTATGACTAAAAATTAACAAGGTGCTTAGGAGGAGAAAATTGGTGTGTGAATAACATTGTCCTAAAATAAATGGAGGGACACGAAAAAAATATATTATTTTCTCCACTTGTATTATGACACATGAAGTACTACATAAATACCGCTACTTGGAAACATTGCTCCCCTTTTCGTTCCCCTTTTTTTTTTTTGTCATTTTCTTTTTGGTAGCAATGCACTTTTACAGTTTCTACTCCAATTGTGGAGAATAAACTTCTAGCACACCATGATTGTAATGTTTAGACCATCTCTAAAGAAGATGTCAAATATTAAACATAAAATTTAAATTTAATGGCTTATGTCGTACTTTGACATCTTTCTAAGTTTTGCTCTTCACCAGATATGTCAAATTAAAATATTATTTTCTTATATTATTTCTTTTCATAATTTCTGTTTTATAATTATAAATTTGATTACATTATTTTCTTTTGTTATTTTATTTCATTATTTTATTTTCATAATTTTCCAGATAGCATGTACACCATAATGGGGCATCTGAATTGATACCCAAGGCATAAAAAACTGAGGCTTCTGAGCTGCAAAGTAATTTAAGTCATCTCGATATAAGTTTCATACCTATATAACTTCAAGCCGTATGTTTTTCTTCTTTTCTTTTAAATTGGATTCGAAACAAATTGAATCGATACAATTTCGTGTAAGCCTTTTCCCTTTGATTCAAATGCATTGCAAGATTCAATGGTCAAATATGCAGTACTCAAATACACACCAAATCCTAAAACCATTTGCGAAAAAGCTCCATAGGCCTATCAAGAAGAAAATGAAGAATTACTGGCTAGAGAGGACGCCAAGCTTCAAAGATTTGTGGCGGAGTTGAGTTTTCTCTGAACCAAGAAACTGGGTTTTGCAGTTTGCAGACATATTTTTAGAGTTGGAGAGGGTGTGGAAGGCTCCGGATCCTCTTTGTGAGGATCCTGGAAATCCTCAAATTGTGTCCATATCGCACATCGTACGGTCATAAATTATTATAAATACTTTTATTTTAAATTAAATATGAATAGTAGCTGACGAAAATTAACCGCACGATATAAAATGAACAGACACGATTTGAGGATCCCTAAGATCCTCATAAAGAGGATTGGGAGAGGGTCCTCCTAGGATGTGGGAGGAAGATAAATGTTTTCAAACAATAATAAAAATTAATAAAAAGTATTTAATAACTAATCAATAAACATTTGAAACTGCTGTTAATTTTTGACAATAAGAGTGAAAGCTGTCATTCTATATCATGCCACCTCAAATTTGGCCTTTCAGTTGAAAAACAATGTTGCTGCCTTTTTTTTTTTACTGTTAATGATGATTTGAACATTTTGACATCTTCTTTGGAGATGCTCTGCACTCCAAAAGTTTTCACATTCTAAACTTTCTATATTTAGAAAAATATATATATATTTTATGAGAAGTGCACAATGAAAATTTTGGAGTGATAACAACAACACCCGAAAAAAGTTTACACATTTTTGGTATCGTTAGCACATGCATGCATAGTAATGGAGTTGTTTCTCTTGTGTGTAAATTATGAAAGAGGAAAATGTTCCGTTCAAAATGCGGCTGTAAATATTGTTATAACTTCTTTGGAGTCATGTAATGAGAGGTATAGAAAATGGAAAATTATTCATATTAGAAGATGCATATAGTTGTCAATATTTGTATCTTATTCGAGATTCGGGTTAAAGATGGGCCAACACCCAAATGCAAAATCATAATCCACAATTTGATATTTTTATTTTATTTTTAGATACAAGTGATATTGAGGGAGGTGATATTCCATCATAATTCCTCGGAATTAAATTCAAACATAATACCTCATAATTGAATGCAAAGATAAATACTTTTGCCACTTGATTATAGTTGCTCCCAAACAACCCAACTTGTTGACAATACCTCGTGATGTGATACTTTTAACCACTTAATATATGAATTCATTTCAATTTACAATATGATCTGCTAGAAACGACTCTTCTGAGACATATCCAATTGGAATTTCTAGGTTTCCAGGGTTGAAAGTCTTGGCCAAGTCCCCAATTAGTCAACATTCCGATTGGTCTTGAGTTTAGTTAAAAAAAGTTGAAAAACAATATTTTAGGAATTTAAAAAGCAAAATTGTGACTAACCTTGATAAGGTACTTTTTGCACGTCCTGGCACTGGTGAATTGCACGATGGTATGAGTCTTCTTGACCTCAGAAAAGATGGATTATTATGACGAAATCACCAGCTGATCCTAGTTTCAAAAAAGATATCGTACTTTTCGACCAAGAAAAAGGGATATGGTACTTAAAAGGCTCTGACACAAAACCAAATCATTTCAACACAATAGCTAGATTCGAAGATAATGACTTCATCATGTTAAAACGGTATTCGAGCAGGAAAAAGATTATTTCCGGATCCCTTCCACCAAGTTCACAAAGGCCACAAATCCGGGCATTTGAAATTTGATCAAATTACTAAAGTTATTATAACTTTTAAAGTGGATCCCTGTTTGTAGCCGTTGGATCAAATTTCAAAGGCCCAAATTTGTGACCTTGGTGGAGTTGATGGAAGGGATCAAGAGAGGATCCATTTCCATTCAAGCAGATGATGGAACAAAGAAACCAAGAGTAGAACACCAAGGTAGACTTCTATCTCTAGGTGAAATCGACATGCATCCACATCAAAAACCCAACACAGCTACCTCTTACTCATTGTTCTTGTTAGAAATTATCAACAATCTATGATAAATTTACATATGCTAATAAATAATAAATGTGAATAAATATTTTGACAGAGTATGACAAAATGAAATAATATTAAACAGATAAACTGAAGATCGAGGTTTGCGTACCGCAAAGTCCTTAAACAGAATTTCGTCCTTACTATGTGCTTGTAGTTCAAAAGACGTATGCTTCAACATAATTCAATGATCTAAGTCGAGATTTTAGCACCAAAAAACTAGACTTCTGACAAATATCTTTGTGGTTCTCTTAGTAAGATGGTTTTGGAATTGTAGAGGGAGAATTTGCTTTTTTTTTTTTTTTTTGTGTTATAAATGTCATGCAAATGGATGTATATATAAATTATATATACTTGTTTGCAATAGGTATGAATATGGGATGCGTCTTTCATGAGACATCTTAGATGAGTTTGTTGAATTAAAAATTAAATTAATT